TTATAAAATCTTAGAAATGAGTATTTTATGGAAAAGTAAACCAACACCTCAAATAGGACTAAGGGCATGTTTGGTGCAGATTGTGGGAAGAGCTTTTTGGCTCAAAAAGCACAAGCTGCACCAAACGGGTCAACTTCCTAAAGTAGTTGCAGCTTTTGAGAAACTCAGTTTCTCACATTTCCTTTGCAAAGTCCGAAAGCTCTCATTTCTTACTTCTGTGGGAGCTTTTCGCTCCATGTTTAATGAAATTGACATGATCTTCTCATTTTATCCTCACACTTCCTTTAATTTACGAAAAAACTATTATATAAAGCACCAATTTATAACTTCACCGACCAGCCCAGATTTCTTCTTCCTCATCTAATCAGACAATCAAAGAAACAAATCCAAAATACTCATCCAATCAGAGAAACAAATCAAAAATATCCAATCAAAGAAACAAACCGAAAATACTTACCGTATTCTTCCTCATTTTCTTTCCTCCTAAACCGAAAATCTCATCATCTTTTGTTCGGAGTCGAACCTAGGAGCTAGGTTCCGAGATGAACCCAGCGCTTGGGTTCCAAGACGAACCTATCGTGGGTTCGTTGCAAACCCCTCCGCTGGGTTCGTCACGGAACCCAACGCCTAAGTTCGAGACGAACCCAGGAGCTGAATTCGCGGCGAACCCCGCGCTTGGGTTCCGAGATGAACCCCGCGCCTGGGTTCCGAGACGAACCCAGGAGCTGGGTTCGCGGCGAACCCCGCGCGTGGGTTACGAGATGAACCCAGCGCCTGGGTTCGTCGGGAACCCAACGCCTAAGTTCGAGACGAACCCAGGAGCTGGGTTCCGTGACGAACCTGGGTTCGCGCGAACCCAAAGGTGAAAAAAAAAAGGAGAGAGGAAAAAACAGCAAGGAATGGGAGAGAATAATAAACTTTATAATATTTATATTAATAATTATATAATTAAATGATTTTAAGGTTATATTAATAAAAAATTTAATTATATTGTTAATTTTTATCATATAAATATTTCATGTAATTTAAATAAAAAAATATAAATTTTTTAATTAATATGTTCCATTAAAATTTCA